TCAAATGACTGTGAAACTGATATATATATGTTTTATATAGCGTGTAGAAAGTTTCTACTAAAAATCATTTGAATTGGTTGAGTAAAACTTGAAATTTCGAAATGTGAAGAAACCTGGAAACCGTGTTCGGACAGCTTGAACAGTGTCTCTTTGAATAAACATATCTCTTTGTACAGACGTCGAAATTGAGTTTCATTTTTGACATTTTAAATAGACATATTTAGCTTTCCAATGGTATAAAATTTATTTTCTAGTCCAAAATGAGTGACCCGTAGCGAGTCGGCAAATTTGCTACCCTGTTCTGTTGGCTTATCTGAGAGAAAGGTAGAAGCTGCATTTTGTTGCTCTATTTTCTCTCACTTATGAATTTATTTTGAAAACAATTTGTCCTGATGAAATGTAGCCTTATGATTCTAGTTTCTAATGCCACCAACCATTCTCGATTCCAAGTTGTATGGAGTGAGATATGGTTCAATTTCCAAACTGCGGCAAAGCTGGAAAACACTTCCTTTTTGCTAGCCGATTGGTTTAGTTGTTTGTGAAATATTTTATTTTGAACTTTTGACGTCAACCAACTATCAATTACTTGTTAAATATTTTTTGGACCTTGATTTCACAAATGAACCAAAATGGAACCGATTTCATGATGTAAAATGCTTGAAAAAGGAAAAGAAAGCAAGAAGACAGATTTGTCTTGGAAATTTCTTGAACTTTGGTAGTTTTGTTAACTACCTTCCCATACGACTTTTTACATGAAATTTGATACAGGAATAGCCCTCATGTGAGAGTTTAATTGTACCAAATTTGGTGTCATTCTAAAACTATTTTGACATACAAATGATGTGCCAAAGTTGTTCTTTAAATCTAGAAAATTGACCGAACAGTCTTCAATTTTGGCCAACTTTGAGCTGCTATATTTTGGCACTCAAAATCCTGAATTTAGTTCTGCTTGTTGTGTTTGAAACTTTGTTTAGAACTCTTGTTGTATTATGAATTTCAGATGCTAGTTCACTTTCTGTGAATTTTGCCGAATTTCCAAAATTTGCCAAAAAACATGATCGAAACTGTCTTGTATGCTTATATCAGCCACTTTGAGCTAAAATTTGAATGTCTTCCATTTAGAATCTTGGAAAAATGTTTTCTAAGAACTTTTAATAATTTGAACCAAGTTTCCAACGATACTAAGTTTTCCAATTTTGGACCTACTGAGTGCAAGATCTGATTTTTCTAAATTTAACACGCAAAGCTGAAATTTGCCGATTTCTTAGAAAATGAAATTTTGGGAACTTGACTTCTTATCTTGATATTGGTATATTGTTTTGAATCCGATTTCGTAGGAAATACGAGTTTCTTTAGTAACTTTAAAATTCTCACTTTTGAATCTTGATTTTTGATAAAGTGAAACTCTTATAAGGACATTTACTTGAATTTTAAAGATTGTGTGCATTCTTCCCTATTTAACAAGGAATTTGTGAAAATATGTGAGGGTGATTGTTGGTCGTTTTCTTTAGGTGATCAAGAAGATCTCGAAGAGAATCCCGAAGCGGATCATTAAAGATCTTTTGCACTTACTCCCTTATTGTGATCTGGTGAGTGTCAAGTGCATGAATTGTTGATAAATGTTTTAAATTGTTAATTGAGTTTTATGGAATTGTTGAGATGAGTGTATACTTTATCGCACTTGTTTTCCCTTAAGTGATGCTACAATTGAATTGTGCTACGTGAATTAAGTGAAGTGTTGCTATTGCAAATTACATTTGTGTTGACTCGACGTCGATCGAAGTAAATCTTATCGACAAATCATATTTTACTCATGGGAACACCCTTGTCCTCTCTCTCTTTGAACTATGTGGTACTTAAGACCTGAATACATATGATTGGTAATTGTACATGAACACGTTTAATTCGTGAACTCTGAGCGGAAGCATGTATCACACCGATTCTGGTGGGAGGTGCCTCTTATACCGTCTCAGTGATAAAATCGGTTCCCTGAACGATAGCATGTACCACACCAATTTGGGTGGGAGGTATCTCTCATGTCGACTTAGAACCATAAACAATGATTGGTAATTGTACATAAATATGTTTAACTCATGAGTTCTGAGCGGATAGCATGTACCACACCAATTTGGGTGGGAGGTATCTCTCATACCGTCTCAGTGCTATAATTGGTTCTCGGAGCGATAGTATGTACCACACCGATTCGGGTAGGAGGTATCTCTCATGTCGACTCAAAAACCTAAACAAATAATTGGTTCTCTAAGCGATAGCATGTACCACACCGATTTGGGTGGGAGGTGCGTCTCATGTCGACTCAGAACCATAAACAAAATATAAGTCGAATGGAGCGATGTCTCATTGACCACTAAGCGATATTATGTACCACACCGATTCGGGTGAGAGATACCTCTCATGTCGACTCACAACAAAAACGTATAATCGATTCCCTGAGTGATAGCATGTATCATACCGATTCGGGTGGAAAATACCTCTCATGTCGATTTAGAACCATAAATGGAGTAAGTGAAATTCTACGAACTTAATTACCTACCCAGGTGACAGAGTGTCATCACGAGGAGGTATTGGATTGAACTTTAGCAAAGCAAGTGGAATTTAGTTCTTCAGAACTCTTGTATCCTTATTGAATGTGTTGAATTGAAAATTGTGAATTGCTTGAATCTTACAGCTTTCTTTCTCGCTTAAATGATATTGTTATTTGAACTACGTGTTTTGCATGTTTTCTGGCCTCACGAGCATTCGCTCACCCCATTATATTTGTTTTCCTTAATAGGAGATGAAATGGAAGGAATTATGAAGAAGTCTACTTGGTGGACGTTTGATTAGAATTTGAATGTATTTGTCTAGATAACTTTTGGAGGTTATATATTTTGGGAATGAGATGTACTTTTGGTATCTTGTGATATAAGACTTGAATGTTTATTAAGGAAGCGAACTTTCTTTATATTTTTGACTTTTAGTATCGATAGTTATCCTTAAGTTGGAATTGAATTTGTACCGAATTCTGACGAGAGTTGGGCACGCGTCCCGCCGATACCCTTTGGTTCGTCTTAAGGAGTAGTAGGGGCGTCACACCAACGCTGACCTGGCTTTGCGTGAGAGAGAAGTAATCGAAGTGAACACATCAGCAACAAAATTTGCCTCTTTAAAGATATGCACCAATGAAATCCCCAATTCCTGAATCAAAGCTCGAACATAGCATAAAACGTTACATAAAGGCCATCTACCTAGCACTGCAGAATGAACTAAATGCAGAAGAGCCTACGAGTCCACCTCCACCTCAAAATGCTTGAAATCCCTCTCTTTACAAAGCTGTAGACCCCAACATAAAGATAAATTCTCAAACATGAGCACATCCACCTCCCCAAACTCCTTGTAAAAGGCAAAAATTAGCATTCCTTCATGATTATGCAAAATTCTTCCTCCAAATGCCCCAACAGAAATCACGCTCACATCTGTTTTCCATTTGAAAGAATTCAACGACGGTGATGACCAAACAACAACCTCCAAGTGACGTTCCTTTCGACGTGTCCGAGCCAATCTATTCCAATGGTGATCACGATCACCCCTAAAATGCTCTAAACGAAACAAACCATCTACTCCCAATTGCTTGATGCATAAATCCACTTGCTCAATAATAATGGTTGCCGAAAAAGAACCCTCTTGGAATCTGGCTTAATTCAGCCCTTTCCAAATAAACCAAAGAACAAGAGAAGGAACTACTATCCGAACATGATCTGCAGCAATAAACCTATCCGAGGAAAACCACATAGCTAGCAATGATGGGACTCCTCTAAACCTTAGATTTAATAAACCAAATTAGCAAAAAGATCCGTACTTCCATCACCAATGGTCCAATCACAAATAGCTGATCGCTTGATTCATGTTTCGCATTACGGTAGCACCACCTTGACACCAAAAGAACTCATTTCCTTTGAAGTAGATCATCAATAGGAAGTCAATGTCGCAACAAATGCCATACAAATAAAAGAAATCTTTAAGGGAGTAATGGAATTCCACACCAACTTGTCAATTAGTGAGATATTCCTCCTTTGGCAAACCAACTCCCAAGTTGATGACATTAAAAAATCACCAAAGGAAGAAAGATACCAAACCATCTGGTCTTCCTGGTGTTGTGAGAAAGGAACCTTCAAAACACATGCAACCTGAAAGGGCAATAACCATTGACGAAGCCGTTGTTCATTCCAACCATTTGAATCATAGAATTCCCCGACAAACATATGAGGAGTACCCGCAACCCTGACGAGTTTCATCAAGGGTTGATCAAAACACCAAGTATCATACCAAAAGTCGACTAATCCTTCGGCTAAAGACCATCGAATCTAGCTCTTTGCGGTATCGCGAATATCCTGAAGTTGTCACCATAATGCAAAGGGTCTATCAATCACCACAACAGAGGGATGAAGTCCTCTAATATACTTGTCATGAAGTCAAACTGAAGGCGTGAAGACAGAGTAAGGGAATGTGCGAAATAGGTAGAAGGAGCAAAGGAAAGCGTGGTTTCAAGACCACGCCTTTAGATGGAAGATGATTCTGCAACAGACGCACATGAAGAAATAACAAACTTTCAAATCAGCTGCAACGGTCTCTCAGCCACTTGGTCACGCCAATTGGAAGCTACGAAGTTAGTTATCAGCTAATTATCTATAAATAGGATATATGGAATGTATTAGGCAAGAAATCTTTCGTGTAATAGCAACAGAGATTGGGCTGAGCCTTTTCTGTTTCTTTTCCCCAATTCCTGCAATCTTGTTCATCTTCTTAACTTTTCCCGCCCTTTCTGTATCTCTTAATCCTTACACCAATTACAGCTATCTGAGTTAGTTCCGCATCTTAGCTTTTTCAATTGATTGATTATTATCAAGTCGAATTGTTCATTTCTGTTATTGGATTCAAGGTTTCCACATAGCTCAGTCTGGTACCATTACAGTGGTATCAGAGCTAGCTACGAGCCATTAGGGATGACTAAGACACAGGAGGAGATGATGAGGAAGGACCTGACTGAGCTAGGGAGTGTCATGAGGACGTTTGCCAATAAGAATGATGGAATAGAGCAAGCCATGAGAGCCATGGAGCACAGGCAAGAGAGTACTGAAAAAACTATAAAAAACTTGGATCAGAAATATGAGAGTATGATGAATATGATGGCGCGGATGATGGCCAAGCTATCTGACAAGGAAAAGGGAGAAGAAGGAAGCAGTTCAGGAGGATATCAGAGATTGGATCTGGTCAGCAAAAAACCTGAGAAAATAGAAGGAAGAGGAGGAAACAGGTTGCCAAAGCTTGACTTCCCTGTGTTTGATGGAGAGAATCCTAGGGAATGGGTCAGGGGAGCCAACAAGTACTTCCAGATCCAGGGAGTGGAAGAGGAGCTGAAATCTGATCTGGCTCAACTGCATCTCAAAGGGAAGGCAGACATCTGGTTCCTTGGAATGTACCATGGAAGAGCTGAAGTTCCTTGGGAGGAGCTGTCCAGGGCCATTTGTGAGAGGTTTGGAGGAGGAACACCAGAAGAGACCATAAAAGAATTCAACAAGCTAGCTCAGACTGGTAGTGTGACTGACTACCTGGAAAAATTTGAACTACTCAAATCCCTGGTAATGCCTCTACTACCCAACCAACCTGACTCTTATTATAAATCCTGTTTTCTGAGTGGCTTGAAGGGGGAAATTGTAAACATGGTGAGGATGGCTAGACCCCGCACTTTGGCAGATACTATAGAAGCTGCTAAGCTGCAGGAGAAGAATTTAGAAGTTATAAGGAAGGCACAGAGGGCACTACCCCACGGGGCCCCATACCATTCCAACTCCCTGGGAAGCAGCAGGCCAAACCCTGTCCCACAATTGAGGAACAAATGGCACCATGAAGGCTCTAGGGTACTCAGGGACAATGACCACAGGGGGCCCAAGGCAGGGGGAAACACAGCAGACAATTTCAGGAAAATCTCTCCCACAGAATTCAACTACAGGAAGGAGAAGGGATTATGCTACAAGTGTGCAGAACCTTACACTCTAGGCCACATCTGCAAGCAAGCTCAGATTCAGTATATCTTGGAGGATGAACCAACTGAGCTAATTGAAGTAGCTGAAGGGGAAATGGATGAAGGAGAAGAGTTTTGTGACTGTATTGAGGGAGGAATCAGTAATGAAAGGATAGAGGTTTCAATCCACACATTGTCTGGAGGAAATGGACACAGCACCTTTAAGCTAAAGGGGGTACTGGCAGGAAGGAAACTCTTAATTCTGGTTGACAGTGGCAGCACCCATTGTTTTTTGGATGAAAGGGTGGCTTCCCACCTACAATTGCAGGTAACAGGAACCCCCTTGGTAGTTAGAGTGGCTAATGGGGAAAGGTTGGAGTCCAGACAACTCAGCGGACCACTAAATTGGAAGGTATAGGGACATGAGTTTCAGCACCACTTCAACACTTTGCAGCTAGGGAGTTGTGATATGGTGCTGGGGGTGGACTGGCTGGCCAGATATAGCCCCATCGAATTTGACTTCAACCAGTTGAGCATGAAGTTCACAAGAGGGAAGGAGGAAGTGGAGCTGAAGGGTGAATCTAATAAGCTTAAGTTGACAGCCATTAAAGGAAGCAAGTTGATGAAGTGGAGGAGGAAGCAAGAGTATGGAGTAACTGCACTTCTCACCATACTGGAGGAAGGACAGGAAGGACAGGAAGAGGTGCCAACAGGAGTGAAACAGATGCTAAACCAGTACCAGGATATATTTGCTGAACCACAGGGCCTACCTCCTCCTAGGAGCCATGACCATGGGATACCACTCAAAGAAGGTGCCAGACCATTCCAAATCAGACCCTACAGATGCCCTTATGTGCAGAAGTCAGAAATAGAAAGGCTGGTCAGGGAAATGCTACAAATGGGAATTATACAGCCTAGCAACAGCTCCTTTGCCTCTCCAGTCCTGTTAGTCAAAAAGAAGGATGGGAGCTAGAGGTTTTGTGTGGACTACAGGCAACTCAATGAGCTCACAGTGAAGGATAAATTTCCAATGCCTCTGATTGATGAGCTGATTGACGAATTACATGGATCCAGGTACTTCACTAAAATTGATCTAAGGGCAGGTTACCATCAGATCAGGGTCAAGCTGGAGGAAAGACACAAGACTGCATTCAGGACTCATCAGGGACTATACGATGCCATTTGGCCTAACTAATGCCCCTGCTACTTTTCAGAGCTTAATGAACCAGGTTTTCAAGGAGCAATTGAGGAAATTTGTGATAGTGTTCTTTGATGACATCTTGGTGTACAGCCCCACACTGGAAACTCATCTCCAACACGTGACAGTAGTTTTGGACCTATTAAGACAGCACCAACTGTTTGCAAAGCAGAGCAAATGCTGCTTTGCACAGACTCAAATGGAGTACTTGGGCCATATAATCACTGCTGAAGGAGTGCAGGCAGACCCTAAGAAAATTGAAGGGATGATGAACTGGCCACGACCTGGAAATGTGAAACAACTAAAGGGATTTCTAGGATTGACAGGCTACTACAGGAAATTTGTAAGGGGTTATGGTTCCATTGCCAAACCTCTAACAACACTGCTGAAAAAAGGGGGATTCCAATGGAATGAGGAGGCTGAGGAGGCATTCCAGAGGCTTAAGATGGCAATGTGCAGCACACCTGTGCTAGCCTTGCCAGATTTCAATAAGACGTTCATCATAGAAACAGATGCATGCTATGGAGGGATTGGAGCAGTGCTCATGCAAGACAGGAGGCCTATTGCTTATTTGAGTCAGAGCTTAGGAGCAAAGAACTTAGGACTATCCATTTATGAGAAGGAGCTTTTGGCACTGGTTACTGCAGTTACCAAGTGGAGACATTACTTGGAAGGACATCACTTCACCATCAGGACAGATCACCAGAGCCTCAAATATTTGCTTGATCAAAGGATCACTACTCCACTCCAACAGAAGTGGCTTACTAAGCTATTGGGATTACACTATGACATTCAATACAAAAAGGGCAGGAAGAATGTTGTTGCAGATGCATTATCCAGGAGAAGCAGCAAGGAGGAAGGGGAGATTGCAGAAATGACATGTGTCATTCCTGAGTGGGTCAAAGAGGTGGAGGAAAGCTATCAAGGAGATGCAGAAGTTCAGGAGATGATCAGGAGTCTGATCCTCACACCAGGGTCTCTACAGGACTACTCCTGTCAAAATGGGATACTCAAGGGAAGGGTGGTAGTAGGAAATGGAGGTCAAATCAGGAGGAAAATCATCACTGCCATCCATGATTCACAGCTAGGAGGCCACTCTGGTGTACAAGCTAGCTATCTGAGGGCCAAGCAGTTCTTCCATTGGCCAGGGATGTATAAGGAGGTCAAGGATACAGTGTTGCAGTGTGACACCTGTAGGAGATGCAAGGACGAACATGTTGCCTATCCTGGTCTCCTGCAACCACTACCCACACCTCAGTACTCCTGGAGTCATGTCACCATGGATTTTATTGAGGGGTTGCCTACTTCAGAAAGGAAAGACACAATCCTGGTCACAGTGGATAGGTTCACTAAGTATGCTCACTTCACCAGTCTAACTCATCCTTTTGATGCCCCAACAGTGGCCAGAGTCTTCCTGGATCAGGTCTGTAGGCTACATGGCATGCCACTAAGCATGCTGTCAGACAGAGATAAGGTATTTACCAGTCAGTTCTGAACAAATTATTCTCACTAATGGGGACTAAACTATGCTTAAGTACGGCCTATCACCCTCAGACCGATGGTCAGTCTGAGAGGGTAAATCAAGTACTGGAAATGTACCTACGATGCATGACACACCAGGAGCGCAACGGATCTTCTGTCCCACACCCTGTGCCACTCTCTGTCCCACTTTTTATTATATTGCTATTTCTCACTCATAAACATCATGTTTTAGTTCTTTTTTGCTTCCTTATGATCCAATAACTATTAATTAAGTAAAAAATAAATACAACACCTTCAAAAAAATAATATATAATAGAAAATTAAAAAATACAGCAGAAAATTCATAAAAAATCTAATTTTTTATGTATTTTGATTTTTGAGTTTGTTAAATTTTGTGTATTACTCAATTAATAATTATTGAATCATAAGGAAGCAAAAAAGAACTAAAACATGATGTTCATGAATGAGAAATATCAATATAATAAAAGGTGGGACAGAGAGTGGCACAGGGTGTGGGACAGAAGATCCGTTGCGCACCAGGAGCCCAAGAGGTGGAATGCCTGGCTATCAATGGCAGAATGGTGGTATAACACCACTTATCACACTGCCATACAAATGAGCCCCTTTGAAGCACTATATGGAATGAAACCACCTCAACTAGTTTTGGGTGTATACTCACACTCTAAGGTAGCCACAGTGGCAGAACACTTACAGGAAAGGGAGAGAATCGAAGGATTAATTAAGAAGAACCTGGAGGAGGCCAAAAACAGAATGAAGGTCTATGCTGATAGAAGGAGGACTGAAAGGGAATTTGAGGTTGGAAATTGGGTATATCTTAGGCTGCAACCCTACAGGCAAAACTCTTTGGAGATGAGAAGCAACACCAAACTATCAGCAAGGTACTTTGGGCCTTATCAAGTAATCCAAAAGATAGGAAAGGTAGCCTACAAACTTCAGCTCCCAGCTTCATCACGAATACACCCAGTTTTTCATGTTTCATTGCTAAAGAGGAAGATAGGACAGAAGGTGGTCCCAGTACTACAATTACCAGACACAAATGAGAAGGGTCACTTCAGGATAGAGCCAATAGCTGTGCTAGATCGAAGGATTGTTAAGAAAAAGAATGCAGCAGCAGTCCAATGGTTGATTCAGTGGTGGGGAACCTCTCCTGCAGAAGCAACGTGGGAAGATGCAGAAGAGATAGAACGCAAATTTCCAGAATTCCAATCTTGAGGTCAAGATTGAATTGCAGGGGAAGCTATTGTCATGAAGTCAAACTGAAGGCGTGAAGACAGAGTAAGGGAAGGCGCGAAATAGGTAGAAGGAGCAAAGGAAAGCGTGGTTTCAAGACCACGCCTTTAGATGGAAGATGATTCTGCAACAGACGCACATGAAGAAATAACAAACTTTCAAATCAGCTACAACGGTCTCTCAGCCACTTGGTCACGCCAATTGGAAGCTACGAAGTTAGTTATCAGCTGATTATCTATAAATAGGATAGATGGAATGTATTAGGCAAGAAATCTTTCGTGTAATAGCAACAGAGATTGGGCTGAGCCTTTTCTGTTTCTTTTCCCCAATTCCTGCAATCTTGTTCATCTTCTTAACTTTTCCCGCCCTTTCTGTATCTCTTAATCCTTACACCAATTACAGCTATCTGAGTTAGTTCCGCATCTTAGCTTTTTCAATTGATTGATTATTATCAAGTCGAATTGTTCATTTCTGTTATTGGATTCAAGGTTTCCACTTAGCTCAGTCTGGTACCATTACAATACTTTTGATGCATAAAATTGGACCAAACGGAATCATTCTTCCTCAAGCGCTACCATAACTTACACGGCATGCAAGACATCAAAGAAAGATCAAAATCCAAACCCCTTCCTACTGAGGATAGCATAATTTTTCCCAGGTAACCCAATGAACCCGCTTTGAATCCATATTCTGATCCCGCAAAAAAGAATTACAAATTTTTCCTAGAGACACCAGGACTGCCTTGGGAGGATGTACCATTTATAGAAGATACATCAAAATAGAGCTCAACACATGCCAAATGAGTACTATTTTATCACCCATGCTAAGTAATTTGGAACTCCAATGAAAAAGCGTTGCCGTAATTTTGAAAGTAGGCCATCAAAAACACTACTTCACAACTATCCCTTAACCAATGGAATAGCTAAATAAGTCACAAGAAAAGACTGCTGGTGGAAACCGAGGACAGAAGAAATTATAGAATGTTGCCCATCTGTTACTCTAGAGGAACATACAGAAGAGCTCTTATTGACGTTGACCTTTTGTCTCGAGAAGGATTGATATAACACTAGAAAATCTAGAACAGCAGTTGGATAGCTCTCTAGACATCTAATAAAGACAATAGTGTCATTAGCAAATGGTAAATAAGGAACCTACTCCCTACAAAGGCCTAAAATCGTTGTTCATCCTTCAAGAAAAGTTGATGAAGACCTCTTCCTAAAAAATCCGCAACAAACAAGAAGAGAGTTGGGGACAAAAGATTCCCCCGTCTAACCCCTCTTGTAGATTTAAAAAAGCTAGATGGTTCACCATTAACTAGAACTGAAAACCATGAATTTGTGAGCATCCGAAAAAATAAATCTATCACACGTTCACCAAAACCGAACTTCCGCAAACATAAATAATAAAAAAACCATTCAATTCGGTCATAAAACTTTTTCATGTCGAGTTTAAGAATTATATTCAAATCATTCAAGCATCTATCCAACTCCAAAATCAACTCCTGGGCCAAAAACACATTATCCACAATTCCCCTCCTCGGAGCAAAACCAAATTGCCACGAATATTTGAAGGAAGTAAGGAATTAATCATATTGGTGAGAATCTTATAAATAATTTTCGAAGATACATTGCAAAGACTGATTGGCCGAAAATCTTTCCATTGAAAAGCCCCATCCATCTTTGGAAGAAGAACTAGAAATGAGTTGGAGTAGCACTTCGGTTGTTCCATTCCCTTGAAAAAGTCATGGACCGCCTATAGTAAATCACCTTTAATTATCTCCCAACAAGACTGATAAAAACTAGCTCCAAACTCATCAGGCCCTGGAGCACTATTGGCATCCATCGAAAACACCATTGCTTTCAACTTTGCCAATGAGGAGAGAGCCAGTAACATCCAATAGTGACCTTTCATTTGTTTGTTGCTAGGACACCATTATTGTTTACTTTTAGTTTTGTGAATTTCTTTGTAACTTTTATTGGAGTAGCAAGAGGTTGGTGTTCTGGATGGTTAGAATTTTGAGTTCCTTTGCATCCTATATATGTAATTTTAATCCAATATGCATTGTCTAAGAAATAGCTATTTTTATTATTCCTATTTTTTTCTTCCTTTTCTTCATATATAGGGGTCACAACATGATGAGAAAAGATAGGCTGTACTAGAGGTTTCTTTTTTGTTCCCTACACTGAGTTTTTTTTTTTTTTTTTTTTTTTTTTTATAGTTTTCATTGTCTAGTTTTCTCTTTATTGGCAAGTTTTTAGTGCATC